CCTATTTATAAAGATGACATACTCAAATATATGACAAATAAGCCTACACTTACACAGATTTAATCAAATTAAATTTTAATCAGGGGTTGCAGATTGAGGTGCCAATGATTAGAACCGTTCTCATTTAAAACTGACAGCAACAGTCTGGTATTCTCTGTGCCAAGATCAACAGAGCTCTTTAAGTCTTTCAGAAAAGAATAAAATAATATAGTTGTGAATGCCAATTAGTCTGGCAATGGATTTGAAAGGATGATCAAATTATTTTCAAATGGAGTAGATTTCAAATAACTATCCATTGGGACAGCCAGTCCTGGACATCTTTTTAATGCAAAAGCACCATATTCATCACCAGAGCTGCAGGTAACTAAACTTTAGCATCAAAGTGCAACTATCCAGAGATCTGAGCTGCATGGGAGGGGAGTCAGAAAAACAAAAAACAAAAAGAGCAGCAATGCTAAACTACATTTTGCTGGGCAACATACAGGCAAAGATCCAAATGTACACAGGTCTTTGTTCAGACACACATAACTTGGGATGTTTTGAAGGAGAATCCCATTCCAGAGTTTTGGGGAAATTTAAAATCCATCCATTATCTATACTCCGCTTAATCCTCACTAGGGTCATGGGGGGCTGGAGTCTATCCCAGCCAACTTAGGGCGAAGGCAGGGGACACCCTGGACAGGTCGCCAGTCCATCACAGGGCCACACTTAGAGACAGACAACCAAGCACACTCACATTCACACCTACGGACAATTTAGAATTTAGAATTGACCTCAACATGTTTTTGGACTGTGTGGGAGAACCCGGAGAGAACCCACACTGCACACAGAGAACATGCAAACTCCACACAGAAAGATCCCGGTGCCCCCACCAGGACGCGAACCAGCAACCTTCTTGCTGCGAGGCAACAGTGCCACCAACTGCGCCACCCTGCAGCAAAATTGAAGATGAGCAACATATTTATTCTTTCTCCTAAAGACAGCAATACTACATTATGAGCCCAAAAAGTTTTCCCACCAAAGTTTGACATTTATCGCTATTGCTGTTAAACATATGATTGAAAAAGCACATTTTCCCTAAGTTAACTGTACCACCTTTATCTGTAGGTACTGGATCAGAAGGATCAGACTTGCTTGTCGAAAAGGCCAACAATTTCCATGACAGGCTTCCAAATGAATTACTATATTACAAAATCATCTTATGACTTCACCCTTCAGAAAATTAAAGATGAAAACACCAATTTCAAGCTGCAAATACATCATTCTTCATAGTGACCGTCATCTCTCAAGCTAAAAAAAAGCAGATTTTTGAGAGTGGAGGATCTGAAAGAATATTCTTTTAAGTTTTGCGTACTTGCTGCACAAGTAAGTTCAGTTTCCATTCTGCATAACATTGTGAGATAATAAATTCTATAACATGGTGTCAAAAATTCTTGCAAAAAAGACATATATAAGAAATAAAACAGACACTCAGTTACAAAGCACCTTTTAATCAAGGCCTTCAACAAAAACGCATCAATATTTATCTTAAAATATTACAAACCGAGTATGAAAATATTTTCAGCTAACAATGAATACAGTCTGACTTCGCACAAAGTTTCCTCTATAAAAGGAAACTAGTACACGGAGGTTTGTGAACATGTTTCTTGGAATCTTAATCAAACATTTTTAACATAGTCAGCACAGAATGAGGGTAAACCTTGTTACAAAAGCTTAGAAACACCCTCGATAACAAGCTAAAAAGGTCCCTGTTATGGTACACACATACATACATATGAACCTTTTAAATAAAAAAAACAATGAAGATCCATCACTCATCCAAAACTGGTAAAATAAAAGAAAAAAGAAAAAACTCCACTCAAGTTCTACAAATGGAGGCAATGTCCATACGAGTCCAACAAGCCGTGAGCTGACGTGGACCGCAGCCTTTGAGCAGGAGGAAGTGAAGACAAGGTTGTTGTGATCTTGCCAGACCCTCAGTCACATCACTTCCCACCTATAAGTAAACAAAACAACAATGACCAACTATAAACCATGTGACAACACTGATTCTTTTACATTCAGAGAGACAACTACAAAACTTTAGTGCCCTGTTAAACAGGCTAACCTCTAAATCCACGTCCACCACCTCCTCCTCCTCCTCTTCCTCCTCTGAAGCCTCCACCACGTCCGCCTCCGAATCCTCCACCACCGCGTCCGCCTCCGAATCCTCCGCCCCTGCCGCCGCCAAATCCTCCACCCCTGCCGCCTCGGAAGCCACCTGAAACAAACACAAAGCAGGATTAGTACAAGCCATACTCCTAATAAGCAGACGGGAAGTCTTCATTTCCACTTTAAGTCCACAGCATCTAAAAGTAACTGTTAATGTTGATAAAGTGCCCAAACAGGTAAAAAAAAAAAAAGACTGTTTTAAGCAAAATGTCCTGCACGCTTAACCAACGAGAAACTGATGCCTCACCGCCACGGCCACCGCCTCTTCCTCCACCTCTACCCCCTCCTCTGCCTCCTCTTGGCGGCCCCTTCTCTCCTGGTGGCCTCGGGAGGAATCTTTGCAAAGGGAGGAGCTTCATTGGATCGATATAAAACTAGAAGGAGGAATGAAAATTACACATTGTTGAGCAATTGGAGGGAGCAAAATTTACTATTTAAAAATGTTCAGGAGGACCCTTAATACCTTTTGTAATTTCTTAAACGAAGACGCCTTCATATTTTCAGAAAGTTTGACTGAAAAATACTGAAAGGATAAGTTAAGGAGTAAACAGGATTCAGGGGAGCAACGCTGACATTTCACCCCCAGCAGTTCCCCACCACGTTGCCTTAGAGGCTCAGAGACTGAAATACAGACAGAAAGGATACGAAGTCCCGGAGCTGGCCGAATATCTCATCCACTTTTCCGATCTGCTCCTTGTTTTCCAGGTACACTGGGGCATTGAAGTATGGAACTTTGTTTTCTTCTGTTGTACACTTGCACACAATGTCATCTTCACATGGATGCATGAATTCTCCGAGTGCTGCAGAGCGGACACACAAAGAAACACAGTTAGTTGTGTAAAACATTTCAGCCATCAGCTCCATTTTTATACCTAAACTGACAAATTGGCATGCGCTTGATGGATCTCTGGTTGATTTTATTTATTTACTTATTTTAAAGTCTACAACTCTGCAGACTTTGCTAAAGTAAACACAATGATGACACACGGAGCTTTTGAAGTATTAAAATAAGTGAATCTGAATAAGTGAAATGAATATTAAAGATATACAGAATTTGGCTTTGTTTTGTTTTTACAACTTTCTGTAAAGTCTTCAGAAAACCTAAGACAGTTATACAATTCCAGAACCTGCTGTTTCGCTTAAAAAACAAAAAATACACGTTCTTTTACATTTCGCTTGAATTGCATTTGTCTCACTTGTAGACACTCCCATATTATTCAACTCAAAGTCTGATATGAGGACAGTAAAAAATATATATATATATTCTATTGGGATTACAGTTTGGATGTTTACTGCAGCTGAAGATTCATGAAAATATCCAACTGCAATTTTAGGACAAATATTCCGATCTGATTTTCAATATCGTTTTTAATCCAGATTCAGCTCGATATCCATCCACTGTTTAACAGACTAAAACATTCAATGACCAACATTTTAAACCCTGGGTTAGACATGCTGCATACTGTATTATCTAAGCTGCAGTCGTTATGATTCGGTCATTCTATGTCAAACCATCAAATCTGAAACACTAAATGAATAAAATAAGGATATTTATAAAGATATTTGTGATATTTTAGCTTGATATATCAATCACTTATCAATTACTATCAAATTATTTTTGTGCATTGAAATTTGAAGCTATATTTGAATAGCAATATCTCAGGAAATAATAAAGATAGAAGCCTAAAGCTTGTCTTGTTTCTTCAGCCCAAACAAATTGTTCAACATAAAAGATTTATCTAAAGAGGATCGGTGTTTGATGAACCACTGATGTAGCAAAACCTGAACATGTGATGTCTTAGTTGACTGAAAACATCTCTATATGTGTGTATTCATTTTTTACATTTATTGATTTTTTTGGAGAAACACTTATGAATAAAAAGTTTCCTTTTTGTATGAGTATGACATGCAGCTACATATAGTTCAGAAAATCTCACCAGTTGAATTCTGCTTTATCAGTTTTTTGGTGATGCGTGTTCTTAAAGAACAGACTTTTCATGGCAGCTTCAGGTTCATCTATGCTTAATCTACTTATCTAATATTGTACATTGTGGATCAAGCTGAAATATAACAGTGAAAATGTCAGGCTTACATCTTTAATAGTTCTTGAAATATTGTCATTCAAACATTAAAGTAAAATTTCCCAGATATCATTTAAACATCCACAGTAAATCAGAGCTGGAGTAACCCAATTGCATTGATTAAAACCAGAATTAACTGTTGAACCCAAATGTTTACAAGTCAGAATTTGGTAATTATGATAAATTTATTGTGACATAAACTGGGTGTAAGACCCATTTTGTCGTCGACACAGTGAACATGAATTCCTCACTCTGCCACAATAACGATCTTCAGATAGCACCACCATTGTGTTACTCAGGCAGACACAGCATGGCCAAACAGTTCACTTGGCCCAAAACAAGCAACACCACTTTCAGCTTTTGAGTGGACAAACTCACCGACAACATATTCCGGAGGACCATAGTCTTGCTGTCTGTTGAAGCCACCTCTTCCACCACCTCGTCCAAATCCTCCGCCGCCTCTGCCTCCTCCAAACCCTCCTCTGCCTCCTCCACCACCTCGGTTAAAACCTCCACCTCTTCCACCGCCTCGTCCTCCTCCTCCCCCTCTGAACGACATGTTGCTTCAAATACTCTGCGAATAAAAAGCCAGAACAAATTAAAAACGACACAAAACACGTGAATTCGTGGTTTCCCGGCATTACAGCGCTTAGCTACACACCGAAGAGTGAATTCGCTGCTTTCAACAGGCTAACCGTGTGGCTTTGGAGGCACTGCAGAAGTTTTTGCTAACATGCTAGCTCAATTCAGTCATTTAAAAAAAACGAAATTCAAACGTATTTTTAAACACAAACCCAGACGACATGTATATTCTTTAAAACAGAAACACTACAGAAAGTCTGCAGCATCAGCTAAAGTGGAATAAAACTATTTACTCACAAGTTTGACCGACTCGCTGCACTTCTCGCTGTAGCGGGCTTCCATGCGATGACAACACGTGTGACCACACACTGCCGTAAAGGCATTCGGCAGTGTCGTGAAGTGTCGTAAATTGTCTATCAGTCATATTTAAAGATACAGACTTGGCAGATGGTGTTAAACTCAGAAACAGAAACAAAGACTCGGTCGGTATGACTTTACATATTCTTAATACAAAATAGATACAAAAAAACGAAGTTATCTCTTTGTGACTTTATGATGTATGGTTGTTTTTATGGTGTGGTAATTTAATTATTTTGTTCAAATACAGGCTGTTTATTTTGAAAACATCACAACAATGGCAACAGATGGTCAGGTACGAATAAATAACTTTTATCTGTGATATTTCCACTCTCTTGTGCAACAGACTGGAGTTTTGTTGTTGTTGTTGCTTTGAGCCTGTTAGTTCTGACAAGGGGTTAAGTATGCGTCTCATTACCCAGTGTACAGCAGCCAGGCCCACCCATGCCTCATTTAGCTTTAAACATTGCGTAATTCTCAACCAATTGCAGAACAAATGTATTTTTTTCTCCTTTCAGGTGATCAAATGTAAAGCAGCTGTTGCTTGGGAACCTAGAAAAGCTCTGGTTATTGAGGAGGTGGAAGTGGCCCCACCCAAGGCCCATGAAGTCAGGATAAAGGTTGGCTGCACATCCTGCAACACAAGCAGTTTGCACATCAGTTATATGTTATAAGTGTTGGAAAGGGCGATGCTACTGTCAGCAGCTGTTGATTTGTCTGTGCAAATTCTTTTAAGTTGTGCTGATACGCTTAAATTATGTAAAAATGATACGCACTGATGACATCATGTTGAATTCTGCAACTGACAAATTAGCGGAGACTAAAGAATAGAATTGTATTCGTCATTCATTTGGATCTTCTCGTTTTAACTTGATGATACGTGTGATAGATACGAACAGGAAATATGTGAGGGTTGTGAAACATCTCCATCCACTTCCTGAAACTGTCACACAAAACTACACCTTTCTACTTGTACAGACAGTTGCCACAGGTCTGTGCCATACAGACTGGGAATACCTGTATGAGACTGAAAAAGGGATGAAATCCAGACCGTTCCCTTTAGTTCTTGGTCATGAAGCAGCAGGCATCGTGGAGAGCGTTGGTCCAGATGTCACCACATTCTCACCTGGTAAATAGTTCTCACGTTCATCTAGCAAGCTGACATTTGGTTCTGGTTCTCATTTCCCTATTTTTTTTTCTTCATAGCTGACTATATTGTTTTCATTTTTGTTGCTTTCTCAGGGGATAAAGTTATTCCTCTTTTTCTGCCATATTGTGGTGAATGTGAGCGATGCCAAAGTCCCAAAACAAACCACTGCAGGAAGAACTGGTGATTTCATTACTGCGTGTTTACACACAATCAATTATATTTCCCAGATTCCTTTCGTCGGGTATAACTACATACTGTTCTACGTGGCTTTTAGGGAAAATGCACAAGTGGGTGTGTTGGCTGATGGCACAAGTAGGATATCTTGCAAGGGACGGCAGGTTTACCAGTTTCTTGGCGTCAGTTCCTTCTCTCAGTACACTGTGGTTCCCGACATCTCACTTGCTAAGATAAGAGCCGATGCACCACTGGACAAAGTGTGTCTGCTGGGCTGCGGTGTCTCCACTGGCTACGGTGCTGCTGTTAATGCCGCCAAGGTAAGATGATTCAGATCTGCTGGACACTTACAGGCAAATTATATTGATTTGACACCAACTGTGATATGGACCAGTAATTGTTCTCTTTGTCCTTAGGACAAGAATGATGCAAAAGCCACGAATTTAAAAGTATATATAGCTAAAAATGACAATTTATAAACAGTTGTGCTTATCGTAATAACAACGAAGGACACTAGCTGTAATCTGTTGCTGACCAGTAATATTTACAGTATGTGGCAAGACTAGCTATTCATTTCTCTTGCTAAATGCTAGCTATATAGTATGCACACTATATAGTGCTTGCTATAGCGTATTTAAAAATGTAGGAGTCCTATACTACCTTATATACCTTGTATCATTTCATAATTTCTGCACATTAAAATAAGGTAAATACAAAACAAAAGGAAATAAGTTGTGTAGAAAAGCCTATAAGCCTACAGAAAGAAGAAAGATTTTTAAAATGTTCTCTAAAATACAACATGATTAAAGTTTGTTCTGAATATTTACCAAACATAAGGACATCCAGTAGCACAGCAGCTAACTCGTTACTAAAAACAAGACAAGGTGTCGTTCCAAAAATTGGCAGAGCCTTTGAGGATGCCTGATAGGAATTGCCTCTTTATGAATACGATAACTGACGATCCCTATCTGGAGTATTTTGACAGAAGAGGTAGTTTGTGATTTAGGTATGGTTAATACGACCTTTTTAAACATAAGTTTTTATATCAGTCTTGGAAAAAAGATAGATGAACAATATTAATTAAAAATATTAAAGAGCCCATGTTGTGTTTTTTCCCCCCTTTCTTTTAGTGTATTACAGCTTCTTTGTGCATGATAAAGGTCAGCAAACTTACAAAGCCCAAAGTCCTTTAGAAAACACTGCTCTTTATCTGCCTGAAATGCTTTGTTTGAAGTCCAGGCTTTTCTTCTGTTACTTTATGATGTCACCATCGAGCATATTTGCATAATGACTGCCTAGTAGTTCATACGAGCCTCTTCTGCTCAAGTTAGACTTCAAACATCTGGGATTATGGTACATAACCAGCTGTCTAATCAGCGTAGACTAGACTTTTTGGGAGGCCTTCAAGAGATGGGAGCAAATTGTGAGGTTAAGAAGAGGTGCTACAGCAATATTTAACATAAGAAAATTACATCAAAGCATTTAGACATATTCTAGAAGAAAAATAGAATTAAGAACCTGTAAATGAGCATAATATGGGATCTTTAATCAAAATGAGGTTTGCATAAGAATAAAAGGAGTCAACACAATGTAAATTCTATTTATTTATTTTTTTTTTTTAAATGTTGATAAAGGCCGATAGAGGAATGTACTCAACATATGCTGTAAAGGTTATCTGTGAAAATTATGTAGCTATTGCTTTTGATTGACTGGCTTCCAATTTGTGTGCGTCAAGGTTGAGAAAGATTCCTCGTGTGCCGTGTTTGGGCTCGGCGCAGTCGGACTGGCTGCCATCATGGGCTGCAAGGTTGCCATGGCGAAAAGCATCATCGGGATCGACATCAATCCTGAGAAGTTTGAGAAAGCCAAGGAGTTTGGTGCCACTGAATGTATCAACCCCAGAGATTCTAGCAAGCCTATCCAAGAGGTAGTGGTGGAGAAGACCGGCGGAGGGGTGGACTACGCTCTGGAGTGTGTTGGAAGTCCAGTTATCATGGTGGGTGTCTCAGCCTCGCTCAAAGGTTTGGACAACTGAATATTTGCAAGTACAGTTCTTCAACTACACTAGGAGTATTGTAAACAGCATCACTGCTGATTAGAACGTGTGCTGATGGTTTAATCACTTCTAGAAAAGCAAAAATAACACAACGCACAATTTTGCAACTGTTTTTTTTTTTTTTTTTTAATGTACCTTTGTAAATATATTTTAAATTGAAATTTAGTAAGACATCTGGTCCTCTTGTCCTAGAGTGCTGCACTTGAGTCCACAACAGATGCCTGGGGAACCTGCGTCATTGCTGGGTGGACAGAGACAGAAACAATGTCCGTCATGGTTAACAAGCTCCTGATGGGCCGCACCTTGAAGGGGACTTATTTTGGAGGTTAACTGAACACAATGCTACCGGGCCTGTTCATTTACACACACACAAAATGTGCTTTCATAATGTGTCAGCTTATAAAAATCAATGTTCAGCTAAAAATCCAACCTGAAGCACAAAAGTACAAACAGTTTGATGTTGCTTTTCTGAGGCTAATTTAATATTAGACTTCAGGAAAATGTTTACTAAAACATCACTGGTAAACATGTTTTGATTATGGCTTCAAGTACAGATTTGTGTTTATTAATAATTCAAGTATTAATAGTTGAAAATCAGTTCATGGTCTCAGACGCAATTGTGATGAAACTCAAGCTACTGAGACCCAAAAACATCATGGCCGCACAACATGCTGCATCTGATGTATTTATAACACCACGTCTATGATCACATTTGCAGCCTGTAACCAAACATTCTGATATGATTGAAATTATAGCGTCTGTGATCATTATCAGGATGTCAGTTATGGAACACAGGAAGCCACGAAATGAAGTAGAAACTGATGAACACTGTGTCATTAAGTAATCACAGACGAGCTTCTGACAGGTACTGAACTGAACATAAGAGTATCAGGAGGAGGGTTTCGCTCACCCGGGGCTACAAAATGTGAGAAAAAAGTTAAGGGCTCGGTAGTGATCACTGTGTTGTGGTTCATAAACCTCAGTTTTGTTTTCCTCTTCTGAAGGCTGGAAGAGTGTACAGGATGTGCCTAAACTGGTGGATGACTACATGAACCAGAAGTTGAAGCTGGATGAGTTTATCACTCACACACGGCAACTGGATCAAATCAATGAGGCCTTTGAACTCCTGAAAAGTGGCAAAAGGTAAGACCTGATCATATATAGTCTGTGGGCCTGATGTATTTGTGGTTGCTAGTGTTTTTATTTTTTACGATTGTGTGCAATCCTTTTTATTACTTACATTACCAAAATCGCTTCACATAGTCGAATTACAGTTGGTAATTAAACCTTCACTCCCCGATGCAACTTGAGTGCATTCTATATGATGATAAAAGGAAGTACACACTTATGTTGCTTCCTGAGTTCACTTCCTCTCGTCTTATCGGACAAAAAAAATGTCATGGTCTCTTTTTTTCCTTTTTTTTTTAACACAAACCAACAGATTCAGTATTCAAACCAGAAAGAGTTTAATATTTTTTGTAAAAATATCAAGAATCAATCAACATCATTTGTTTAGGAAGATATGGATGGTATACTGTAAATGTACTGTTTATATTATTTTATTCTTCATATTGTCCAGTTGTTTTCATCAGTTAATCTGCAAAATATTTTCCTAATAAATCAACTAATTATTCATCTACAGTATTTCAGTTCAAAGTTACATCTACATGGGTCTTGTTGTGCCGAACTGTTGGGCCAAAGCCAAAATAATATGTTTACAGTGGTAAAAAAAAAAAAACAAGTAAACTAGCAAATATAAACATTAGAGAAGCTGGAATCAGTGAACGTTGGCTTAAAAATGGCCTAATTATCAAAACATATTCATGTTCTCAATTGACTAATTAAATAAATGTGTAATTGTTGCAGTTCTGTTGTCTGTATTATGTTTGGGTCTGTAGGGAAATGTGACCAATTATCATAACGATTCTTCCTTTTTTTTCCCTTAGCATCCGTACTGTCATCAGTCTGCATGACTCTCAAGAGGAGGATAAACCTGAAGTTGCTACCGAATGAGTTTAAGGAATTGTTAATGATATTTTGCGTGCACCATACAACTCTTTTTCTTAAAAGATATGAACGAGTACATTTTCCCTGCTTGACTTTGTAGCAAGTTCCCACATTTACCACTAGATGGCAGCCTTACATCACGTAAAATCTTCAGCGTCTGTTTCCATGAATAGCATCTAACCTTATAAAAACATTGCTTTTCAAACTGCAAAGCATTCTGTGTTTTTATTCAGATTAAATTTTGAGGTTGTTGTTCTTTTTTTTAGCATCACTGCAGTCTTCATTAAAAGAAAGAGGGGGGGGAAAAAACACTGAATGTTCACTGCTCCTATGTAAAACGATACAGAATGTAAATCCTAAATATACAGCATCTGCAGTAACATCAGGACAAATTCTCTCTACATCTGTCACTTTTGGCAGCTACACCGATCGTGATTCTGGTCCAGATATCAGTGTGCCGCAATAGATGGAAATAAATACCCTTGTGTGGAAGATGGACTAAAAGACACAGGAAGCAAATGGCTGAATCTGTCATCGGCCGTGGAGAAGTATCTGCTTCATGTGGTCAGGCTTACCAAATTTCAACCTCGGTAATGTTATATATATTGATTTAAAAGGGAGTCACCAAGAAGGGCTTGGATAACAGTTGTGGCCTGTCAGGAGAGAAGACAAAAGGTTGTTTGGGGAATGCCTCTCTGTGAAGAACTGAAATAGCTGTCGAAAGAATTTGTTTTATTGGAGTTCCATTCAGATCAAATGAATACCCTTGGCAGTTACCCCACTTTCCATCTTTATTTAAAATGGAAAATAAATTGGTGCTCTTCCTCTTACGTTGGTCCCCTCCGCCTGCATGCTATCAATCACCGATTATACAGCTTAGTTCAGATCACCTACTGCCAGAAAAATTCTTAAAGAAGGTTTTTTAAGAAACGGAAAGCAGAACAATGCAGATAATAGAGTGGTAGACGGAGATAAGAGGGGAAGATCAAAAGAAAAGGGAAGACAAGTTTTGACAGGTGGTTATGCGACTGGGCACCGTCATCTGTAAATGTTGGACATGCTCACAGATTTATAAGGCTTTCTTGGGGACATGTGTCTGAATGTCTGCCTCATTTATGGGAAAACTATCCAAAGTGACGACCATAAGTCTCCTACCTTTTTTTTTTTTTTCCGCCCCTCTTTGTTTTTGATCCCTGCAACCTCTAGAATTGTCACAGTGTTGTGCAACCGATACGGGGAGGACATGCTATCTGAATTACAACCACAGCCTTGCGTGCATTTTCGAAAGTCTTAACTGTCCATCTTGTCGTGTTTCACATTCATCTGAGCAGCTTTTTCGGCACATCTCTTTCGGATAGCATGAAGTGGCACGGTGATAGAGAGCAACCCTGACATTTGCAAATCGTATTTATACCTTTATGCTCTTTTTATCTTGCCACGATCACTCCACTGTGACAACTCTTTTTAAACCTGAGACTTCATGAATATAACCGACAGTAGAAACGCTAGGTGACGTAAATGCCATCACGCAAATAGAGGTATGTCTGGAAAAGATGTCAAAAAAGTGCTGCCTTGCCTTTCACAATATTTAGATTGGGATCAAGGGATTTCCTCTTATTTATTAAGCTATATTCCTGTGTGACAGATGGATGATGGAAAATTAAATATGATGAGAACATTAAAAAAAATAGATGGGGAAACACCCTTTTTTAAAAACAAAGACAGGTATTTTATTGTCAAAAACAAAAAGAAAATAGCCCTCCATTTGTTCACTTTGTAAACGGTGTCGCTCGAATTCACTTGTTAATTTAAGTCATTGCAAAGGCGCACAAGACAGAAGCTACAGCTCATTCTGTCTACTATCCCCAGCTTAGTGTTACATGTTGTCTTATATTTGTATGTTTTTTGTAAATTATTTCAGTACATATAGAAAAGCATTTCTCTGCTCAAGAAAGAATTAGTCAGTGATGTGTTCTTCAGCACTCGATATCCAACAATAGCTTAGGATATTTTCTTTATATGTGTTTGTTTAGCTTTACCTGATGTTAGTTCTGCTTTTACATTCTGGCTGTTTCTCTCAGTGAAAACAACATGTGGTGAGAATTCAATAGCAGACATCAGGAGTACATTCTTTATTTGCTGGAAAATGATCTGCAGATTTGATTTCTCAAGATGGGAATGTTTTTGACCAGATGAGAGAATAAAGTCTGACACGCCCTGATGCCACACCTTGAGTAAGTACCTTTTTTTTTTTTTTTTCTATCTGGGGTATATAAATCTTGCATGTTTACTCTTAAATGCATGCAAACCTTATGGACCTACTGGTGTTGACATGCCTGTGGTGAACTTATAGCAACTAATGATCCACATGATATACAGCTTCCACAGAAGACACTTTGACTTGTCACAGTAGGAAAAGCACAGGTGTAGACATTAAAATTAATGGAGCTGAATTCCGTTTTACTGCTTCTGTTTTAGTGTCCCGATGTCGTGTGTGATCGCTCACTGTCACACTTCTATGGCTTACTGAGACGCTTAAAATGTCTAAGAGAAGTCAAAATGTCTGCTATGCTATTACGTTATGAGCACTAGTTGTTTAAATTGTGCCTTTTTTTTCTAGTTTTTCCTTTGCAAGGTCATTATGGGGGTTATGTTCGGTGCAAAGATGGCATCTCTGTCCTGTCACACAAACGTTTCATACACCTGTTGCTCATATATCTTGTGAACAACATAAACATAAAATACAAAATCAAATTAATCAGGGGGAAAAAAACTCCACATCTGTGAGAAATAAGCTAGAGGGAAGGCACATTTGACAGAGACATAGACTTAGGGACAGATATACTGTATAGCCCCATGGCTATGGAAGAACGGCCCACTTAAGTCACTAAAGACTGCCAATGTGAGGCCCCTGTTTTATCAGCAAATCCTGGCCATTATACGCCTAATGCCAGGCATTGCCTGTGACATCCCCGGTCTTTCACTGACACGGTTAGCTTTAGCTTCTGTGTCAGTGGAATATACTGAGCTTCACTAGAGGACAGCACAATACGGTGCTTAGTGTCTTGGAAGGACAACTGGTTTTCCGCTGCATTAGTGCACTGTGCAGTGACAAATCTGGCACAGTGGGGCATGTTGTTTTCAAGTGACAGCCTATTTTGTCTCGAAAATATCAGTACTTTTAGGAAATTGCCATGTGTTTGGCTGAGTAACATTTGACATCATAGCAGATCTTGAGAATTGAATGTTAGAAGTGCAAGTCCTGACATTTTTATGCAACACTCGTCTACTTTTACTGTCATGTACAGATGCACAGTTTGGATGGAGCACAGTTGTATGCATAAAAAGTAAAATATGTCACAGCTTATAAGATCTTAGATTTATATAGACATGTTTTGTGGACGCCTCCACACGTACAGTATAAAAATCTATTGTTCCGCTCTTCGGAGGCCTTTCGGTAAGATAAAACCTTTAACCCTGAAAATGACTGCATCATGCTCTTCTCACTGAGCCATGCAGGACCATATGTTTTGTATTTTGTAACCTGTCAATCGTGACGGTGTTTTATAGTTAAGTTGCAACAGAAATAGACAACAAAGAGCAGGATTAGACAGACCACACATGGCTATTACCAAAGAGACACAAACACACATGCACACACACACAAAGAGATATATATGCGTGACAGGTCTAAGCTTTTGTTGTGCTTTGTCTGACAGCAGCAGTAAAGTAGTAATTGAGAGATTAGCTCTAAGGTGCTATCATGGCACTCCTTTGTTTGGTCTCTCCCATATTGGTCACACTGCACATTACCAGCAGGCATGAGAAGGAGTCATACGCTGAGATAGTTTAGGTAGTTTAGCCTTATTTTAGTTCTTTTGAATCCGTCATGTATGAGCTGGTCCAAAAATATTATCCAGGGGGAACACAGAGACAACAAAACCTTTTGAATGCAGATACCTTGGTGGGCAGGAAGGCAGAATCAGGCTGTGTGAATGTGTGAATGTGCTCATAGTCATTAACACTTGATTGTAGTACCCTAAAAAAAAAAAAAAAAAAGAAGTACAATAACTTTATTTTGAATCATTTGACCTTGTGGGCTTGACAGGACTTATCCATGACAAACTTGAATGTAGCCCTATCCCCTCTGCTACTTATGGTTCCTTTCAATGTGCCAACGTTGAGTCAACAGAGTCATTTGATGCGGTTGTGGGGTGGAGGTAGGGGGGAGATATTTCTCACAGACCCTATGTGTTTACCCCCTAATCCCCGAGAAGTTCACAAGCGTGAGGAAAGTACTGGGAGATTTAGCTACCTTCCAAACCTGCTCAGCTTCCCGCTCCCTCGCTTCCCACAGCCAGGTAATTTCTGGGAATGCTTGTGAATGTTAGATTTTTGGGACCGTAAGAACATAATTAGTACAAAATAGATGGTAGTGCACCTATACGGAACAATCTACAATGGTCTATTTATGCTGTTCTTAAAAATATGGTGTCATCATGTGCTGTAAAACTTAGAGGTACATTGTTAGAAGTTCTAAACTTATCTAATTATTATCTTATTTTAAACTAAATGCTAATATTCTACAGAGATTTCTAGTGAGAAAATGTATAAATTGAATAAACAACCTTGTCCAGGCTGCAGGTCAGTGGCAGACGGGCACTTGTTGTGTTTGGCCCTGAGTCGTTACAGTATGTCTGGTTTCTTTCACATTTCTGTCCTGCTTGATGTATCTTGCATCACTTGCGCAAACGAGTTTCAAGGTTGCGGTAAGACAGGAGAATTCCAAATGAGTACGTGGTTAGTCACAGTTACCTTGTTATACCACCACAGCAAAGCACATCATTCTGTTTTTCTCCTTCTCCTCGCAATAACTCACTGTTGTCCAAAGATGAGGCTCCCAAATCACGGCTCTGTGGCTCACTGCCAGGCCGCAAAAAGATGGGCCCGATCCCAAAAAATACACTCCTCACCGAGCACAGTTGAAACACTTTTCTTTGACTGGTAATTGTGGTGAACGGAAAAGAAACCTGAAATGATCCATTATAGGTGCCTGGGCCCATTACTCATTCTCAAGCATCCCACACTTTCAATTATACATTGGCAAGACGGACGGATGTGAGTAATGCTGAATTTACATTTACGTATATCTGAAGTCATAAAAAATGATTCAATAATTCTTTGCCACTTTGGTATTGCCTTTAGGAGGCTG